GTTGTATATTGTATAAATTATAATAAAGTTTATATTAGCAACGTTATTCATTTAATTTTCTGATAAAAAATGCTTGCCCTTAAATCTGTAAATTTTCAAACCGTTATACAGGTTTCGCGCTTAAGTAATTGTCGATATATCGATTAATTTCGAGGAATCTGCGCACAAGAATTATTATTGTTTTTTCTGCGTTTCTCATAAGTATCTTTTCTTTTGTGCAAAATGTGCTATTTACGAATATACAGGGTGAAAACGCAAAGAAATAAGTTGGCGCAATAAGTAGAAAATTATCAGTGATAAAATATTGTGAAAAGTTATCTGCAAATCAGTGTAAATGTTGACGTTGACGTAATAAAAGACAAGGACTAGTGGTACTTACATACAACACCGGTTATGTATTTATACATCTTACTGACTAGTTCTGCATTAAAAATTTTAAAAGCATTCTGGTAAAATTCATCTACAGATAATTTTCTGAAATACGTAATAATACATATGTATTTAAAAATGTAAGAAGTACTACATTCTTTTGTAATCTTAATTACAGTTATGAATTACAAAAATAAACCAATCATTGTTCACTATCTTCATAGATATATTGGTTCTTAATATCTTGCTTCCTAAGTACAAATAAAACGTTATCTTAATTTATGGCTAAGATGTGAATAATAGTCTTATCAGAACCATTATACAATGTGATTTAAATTCAGAATCGAAGAAGAAGAGAACAAGTCTTTTGTTGCTTAGAAATAGTATTGCTTTAACTATGTGTATTTTATTTATTTATCGTAATCCTAATGCTGCTTCTGAGTCCTATCGATTGATTTTGGCTTCAAATCGTGATGAATATCTTAAGCGGCCTTCATTACCAGCCCATTATTGGAAAGATCATCCGCAATGTATAGGAGGTATGCTTGAATTGCATCAGATATTGATTTGTGTTTTCACTTCGTTTAAATGTGATATACTTACATATATATACATATCTTTTCTGTAAAATGTTTAATTTTATATAATATTGAACAATAAATTAAGAACATGAAATTTCATATTAATCTTAGGGACTGATATGGAGCCTGGAAAAGAAGGTGGAACATGGCTAGCCGTGTCATTAAATGGAAAAGCTGGCATCATTCTGAATTTAACTAATGAGGCATCCGTAACTAATATTCCAAAACAAGGAAGGGGATTTTTAGTGCCTAATTTTGTTGCATCAAAGAATTCGGCGACCTCGTACTTGAATAAGTTACACGAGGAAAATAATAAGAAACAAATTTATAATCCTTTTGTCTTGGTGTTAGTAAATTTGTTGTACGTATGATTTAATGATCTGTCTAATTACAATTATTTCGATAGATATCTTTTTATAATCCAATCGATAAAATATTGATGTAGAAAAATTTGTTTAGGACTGCAGATGTGAATTACCTTAGTAGTTCTGAAACTTCAACAGGACCTGATTTAGCTCAAGAGAACATCTTGGGTTTTAGTAACAGCGGTCTTAATATTCCATTTAAGAAAGTTGAAGCAGGAAAAGAAATGTTCAAAACTATTATTAAAGATACTAAGGTGTCAAAGCAAACTGACCTTATTGAGAAATTGTTGACGTTTTTAAAATCAAAAGAAAGGCAAGTCAAAGGATATTCTTTAACAGCTGTGAACTTATATTCATTTTGTAAATATTGACAGATATTTACCAGATCCCGAATTGGAAAGACGTTGTCCAGTGAAGTATAAAGAACTGAGCTCAATTTGTGTGGTAACCGATGGATACGGTACAAGAACTCATTCTATACTACTGGTTAATGGTCGGAATGAAATGACATTTGTTGAAGAAACACTTATGCCAGATTTAACATGGAAACGTCAAGTATTTAATAACAAATTGTTATGTGAAACTTAGTTGATACAAATAAATGTGAGTAATATTCTCACAAATTTAGTTTTCATATTATAACTTCTTAAATAATACTGATATAGGAATGAGTTTTGGTAAGTTATTAAAATATATTAACTAAGTATATTATTTTTTCCTTTGAGGTATCTCATTTATATTTGATGGAATCATTTGTTTGTACTGCTGTAAAAAATTATTACAGTACATCATCATCATCAGCGACATCATCAGAATCGCTCGCTAATATATCTGAAGATATATTAGTTGCATCATCAAGTGTATCGCCTATATTTTGTATGCTACTACTATCTTCTGATGATATGTTCTGAAAGTACCAACAAAATTACATGGTAAGCAGTAATTCATAGAATTATGTATTTATAGAAATGAATGAAACTTTAACAAACCTGTGAAAAAATTTCTTGACCTTCTAAGTTTTTGTTGACAAGATTGCCCATCCAAAAAGCAGCAGGGCTATTGTTAAGAACTAACATTCCTTTGACACAAAAAATTAATTTTTCTAAAACAGATTTTGCTGCAGGAATGTACTTCATCAACGTAGTATCTTTCTTTTCTGCACTATCACAACATATTCTGTGCAAATATCGCGTACCATCTAAATTAATAATTTTGTGTAATTTTCTATTTAATTGTATACACTACTGATTCTATCATGCCAATGATATTTATACCTTGCATCATTTTCAATATCTTGGTTACCTCCTCTGTTTGGTATTTCAAATTATGCTCAAGTACTGGCATACCAAGGTGTAGAAAAGATTTCAACAATATAGACATTTGTTTTATAAAAATTAGTAAATTATTTTTTGTTGTTAGTGTTTTACATATTTGAACTAATTTCTGAACATTTATTCCTACCTCATACCATAGCTCTATTCTTTTAGGGTCTCTATTATAAGAAAAAATAATTGTATGAGATACTTATTTGATATAACAATTAGAAGTAGAAATTACATACCTGTCAGCCATTTCCAGCGCTATTTTTATACCGCTAATTAAACCATCAAATATCTTCTTGAAAAGAGAGTGAAAGTTAGCCTTTGTTATTGACGGTATTCTACTCAAACTGTTTCGAGACTTCTCCAAGTTCAAAATTTCATCTGGTAACCATTCTAAAATTGAAGTTATTACTTGAAGCGGTAGTGGTTCATTATTAATCCAATGATTTAACAATTGAACTACAGCTGATTTGTATTGAGTACTAGAATGATTATCTTCCGGCCATTGAAGACATAAGAACCCAAATGCCATTTTTGCTAAAAAGAACAGAACGTTCAATACTTAATCTGTAAAGATGTACAATACTTCTTACCATATTTCTCTTTGTTTTCTTTAGTGTAGGATTCAGAATGTTTCATTAATGATTGACACATATCAATTAATGACGTTGACAATGATATCTGCGTAGCAATATCGGATAAAGACTCAAAATATTTGCAAGATTCTGTGACAAGCTCTTTGCAAGATCGTAACGTAATATTATTTTCATCAATTTGACTAGCTAAAATGCGTAATCCCTCTAAAAGAGAAAATTCAAATTATTATAATATACTATAAATCATAACACATTATTATACAAATATATCACATACCTCGTAACAATATATTATATGTGACACTTTCAAATCCTTTCCAAGTGAAAATTTTTGTTAGAAGACGTAATAATAATCGAGCAGCCTCCCTACTTTGATTATCCTTCTCTTCTCGTAAAGTTTCTACAATATCTCGCAATTTTGCACAAATTTTAGGTAACAATTCGATTAAATCTTTTATACATTTTTCGTTAGTATCGTGTTCAAGGATTGCCAAGAGTTCCTGGACAATGAAACAAACTTGCTTCACAGATATCCCATGTCTTACAGATTGTGATACATGTATGTCCATTTTAACATCCAACAAATGCACTATCTATAAAAGATTACATTCACATTTATATTGACAAAATCTCCTTAATTTAAGTAACTACATATGTTTTTAATGTAGTCATACCGATGCATCGAATTTTCTGAAATAAATTGGGTTTTTTGAACATATCAAGAAACCAGTTTCCCAATCTTTAATTTCACTAAAACTAAGCGATTTTTTCTTCCCTTTTTTCCCTTTCTTGCCAATTTTTTTATCTATTCCAAAAAACGGTGGCAGCGGAAATTTATGAAAATAACAAGGAGGTGGTTGATATTTTGTATCGCACAACGTAAGTAATGTGCTCAGTTCAGTTTGTAAATCTATTAGATTATCCAGTCGTTGTAGTACTTGCTTTCTTAACAAAGGGTTTTTCTGTATAACAAAACCACTGATCACTTCACGGAACCTGAAATTAAGTTTCATCAAGCATTCGTGTATTTAATTTAATCATGCAATCTTTATTTCTCTTACCAATTAATGCAACATATTACTAAATCCACTATCGAATTTTCTGCTATATCAAGGCTTTCTGGCATTAAGATTGCACATCCCAAAAGAGAATTTATGGCTCCCAAATCTTTATTCTCACTGAGCCTTATATGACATGTTCGGAGAAGTTTAAAAGATATTGGAACAATCGCTCCATACTTTTTATTTTCAAAAGTTATAAAACAATTTCGTGGTTCGTCTTCTGATTTATTTAATCCAAATTTAGGAACAGAGTCTCCTCTAAATGTAACGTAGCATAAAAAGATGGAAATGTAATAGGAAATACTATACGTCTCAAATATTATAAAATATACCTATAATTTGTTTTGTTTATCATGTTTGTATTAACAAATTGTTCTTCGATATGATCTGCGAGAGACTTTATAAAGTCTGTATTGACATTTTTCGTTTCCAAAATGATGGATGACAACTGATCGTAAAAGAGGGCTTGTGATCTTGGACAATTGTTTACGTTATTTAATACTGTCTCTATTTTAGCATGGAAAATAAACTTGTTATCATAAGTCTCTTATATATGAAAATGTATACTAATGTAAATATTATTATGCTTACTAAATAAATTGTAGGCAATATCAGATACTTCTGTTTTTTGCATTAAATGTTTTATAGCCATTACTGCCGCCAAAACACCTTTAGACTTTGTTCTAGAATACAAAAATAAAATTAATTATTGTTCATTTTTTATTGTTATTCTTCATCGTATTAATACCTACAATGGTTTAAAATTAGATAATTGTTTCTGCATCAGTATGGATAGATCGTCGTGCAAAGAATCTGCTGTGGCACTGGAATTTGTACACAAATGTTGTAATAAGTCATTCAATGTACCAACCTCTTCTAGATTCAAGTTATCCATCTTTTCCAGCAAAATACGAAGATGATTACAATGTGACAACAAATATTCTCTATCCTCTTCCTTTTCGACCATTTTGCAAAGAAATAATAAAGTATTTTTTACAGTCTGGTCATTATCACCCATGAGGAATATAATTCTTTCTAAAATCTCTCGTTGTTTAAATATATTATTTTTATGACACTTGAACTGCAAACGGATCCAATCGATAGCGAAATCAGTAAATACACGTTCATCCGTCTTTAATAAATTGCTTGATATTTGTAACACAGTTGATTGTAACTCTTGTACTACCTGGAAAAACATTAACTTATTTTTTCTTAGACGTTAAGCAACTAAATATATCTAATAGTTATTTTATACAAACATGTTTATAATCATTATACAGCATATTTAATAAGCTAGCTCTGTAAAAGCCAGATCGTATGTGTTGTTTAAATATTGTTTCCACGAGTTTTCTTTTTATATCTGTTGTTTGAAATATGAGGAGCAACAGAATAATATCTAACGTCTTCGGATCCTTAGTGATATCTTTTATAACTGCTAAGGTTGTATTTATTACATTCTTTGAGAAAAGCATATTCATTTTTAAATTGTTGAATACATCTAACTGATTTTGATAGCACTCTTCAGCATCTTCCCCAACGAGAGGCTGCATATCAGTATCACGCAATACTTTTAATGCTTTTTCAAAAATGTCTATATTTGAATAATCTTCTAAAACAAATCTGTAGAACATAATAATTATAAGATAATTAGTATTATATTAAGCTATAATATTTAAAAATTATGAAACGTACTTTACAATGGCTGGTATTGCATTTACTTTAACGTTTGTCTTCAACAAGTTTAATGTTTTATCTTTAAATTCCTCCAAATATTCTTTGCCAAGATTTAAATTGGTCATACAATTTAATACTGATTTTACTAATACAGTATTCTCTTCTAGAAGTTTATTCAGAATTTCAGCCACAGTTTGATGTTGTTTGTCAGTTACAATATCGGGTAAGAATGTTATTAATTCAGTTTGAAACCATAGAGGACAAGATTCTAGGAGCTGTTCTAAGCTACTGGTCAGAGCATCAGAATTAATTACAACATCCAGGAAACGAAATTGTTGCAGTAATAGAAGAGCCCAAGGTACTGATTCCATAGAATCACTGAAAAAGGAAATGACAAAATGATAAAAGTTATGGAGAACTCCAAAGGGCTGTCGTAATAACAGAAAACATACGCTATAAGAACAGCTTCATTAAGTTTAGTCAGGAGACTGCTATATATTTCTGGATGTAATTCTGAAACTTGTAATAGAATTTTTACAAGACATGATGTATGCAAAATATTTGCCACTTCATTAGTATCTAATACTTCCATATCAATAAGAGCATTTTTAAGATTTTCTTCATTTTCAAAATACTTCTCCATTAGTGTGATTAATTCTGATTTTTCATACTTATTTGAATTCAGCAATTGTTTCATTTTCTTTTGAACTATTATGATATCCTTACCTACAATAAATTAATAAATAGAATTTGATTTCAATCAAATGCATAACAAGATTAAGATGAAGATAATATTTATCATATTACGTACATAGAATATGCGGAGCATTTGGATTTATCTTAATGCCAGATTCATGTAAAAATTTGATGAATTTACATTTCTCAATGAGAACGTTGTCAACATTTTCCCGTGTTGGTATTTGAGTGCTTGATGATGCGTTAGAACTAGTTCCCTGATTATTGTTTTCATATTGACTTTGTGTAATGTTGCTATTATCTCGTCTCTTTTTTAAAACTGTAGACTCTGCCAGAGGAAGACCCAGATCATCATCATCAGGACTCGGCAATTTTCGTTTACGTGACGATGGTTTCCCACGTATTAAATTTTCTTTCTGATTACTTTTTTGGGACTCACAATCTTTTTCCGAAAATATATCATCGTTCAACGATTTGTCTTCATCTACGAATATTTTATTTAAACGCTCTGATAGTTTTTAAAAGTCTTCTAGTAAACTTACTTTGACTTGACAAGATTTTTCCAGCCAACAATGAGCTGTTATTTCTTGATAGTAGCTCATCTGTAGATAATCTAGTTCGACACGAACTACTAGATGATAGTGACGTCTGGCTCCCTATCAAATTTTTATGTAAACTACTTCCTTTTACTTTTCTTCTGTCCATGATGGTTATATTTCACGCGCGATGGTGCGCGACGATATGATACATATACCAAGGAAAAGTCCTTTGCACGAGCAGAGCAGTTTCCGCGACAGCTTGAACGGTTTCAATGGACAAGTTCGTTGAACAATATTTTTCTCTCCCTGGTTTGTGGGCCTTATATTTAAATTTCATTACTTATTTCATTACATCTAAGTAAGTAACTATAAGACTTATAGTTACTTACTTATAGTATAAGTAGACATTATTCTCATCTGCGCTTTGCTACATACCTGCCTGAAAAATATTAGATTCTCCTTTTTCATCATGCTCTTTCGCTAGAGAAACGAGCGCGAATGTTCCTGCATGTATGAGAATTTTCAATGATCTAAAAAAACGCAAACCCAATGCAAAATATATGTCTGTATTTCGGTTTTTCAATGTAAGGCCTACAAGTCAGAGAGAAAAATATATTTCAAAACGCTCGTGCGAATCAAGCCAGTCAAAGTCAATGTCAGCAGCAGCAGTTGAAACTTTGAAACGCATGCGTCTAAATAGTAACACGTGATCTTGTTCAAAATGTAGAGTCCTGCTTGGACATCCTCCTCAGTTCTGCTGTTTTTGAGTGAGTAAGTATGAGGAGAAAGGAGACATAGAAATTTTCACACTAATATTATATTTGAAATATTTTATATTTTTTTAAATGTACAATATTTACAAGGTAAATTTAGCAGAAACAATTAATTCAAGCGAGTTCCTCGAAATTCTGATAATTATCTTGTGTGATATATATGTATTTTGTGTTATTCTGTGTTGTGTCACAGCAAGCATTATTGTACAATTTTATTGCCATTAAGTTTTATTACAAGGAAATAACACCTACATATTTCTTGGTATTGTATAAGAGGGATACTCCATTCGTAAAATGAAAGATAGAAAAATGTAATTACTGTGCGGAAGATTACAGGAAATGTGACAGGACAAATTAGTTTTTTGATGTGAGATCGTGAGATAAACATTATAATTGTACCATGCATCTGGTATATATGAACGCATGATCATTCTATATTCAGATACTAGTCTAAGCTCTAAGCAGTCGAAGTGTCTGTCACAATATCTTTTTCCATTCAACCACTTCAGTATGAAATTACTTACTGTGTATTTATTTTGTTTTATGTTATTTTTCCTCGCGGTAAGATTCTAATTGTACCTTTTAACATAAATATCTAATTACAAATGCGAATTTATCATATCTTCTTCAATAACGAGGGCGTTGCATTATATCGCTGATAATGATATTCATATGTGTATATGTATAATTGCGCATTGCGCGCTGATTTATTCATGAAACGATATTCTACTATTATTTAGTTTTCATAATCTTTTTTTAATTTTTTTTTTTTGCTGTGTAT